CTGGATGGTCTCACTGTTAGATGCTACAACGTGAAACCCACAGTGCTAAGTGGAAATCGCCCTCTCGAAAGATCCCATGCCCTGTGGCTCGTGAAATATCCCAAAACGGGCAAATCCGTAGAGACAGAAGCAGATCCGTGCTTGCCGGGGGCTGGAGAGGAGATGCAGGAATGGGAGGTGACTGCTTGTGCTGCAGGAGTCGTTGCTGGCACGGTAAGAGTGTGCCAGCACTAGACGAGGGAGCTACGAGAGAGCGAGCTGATGGCACCGCAGGTTGGCGCTGTGCACGCTAAGCAAACTGCCTGCAATGGACCTCTTAAAAAAAAGGGGGCAGAGAACTGCCAGGCTAGGATAAGAGGGGATGAGAAGGGGGACGCTGCGGCATCTGGATGGCCAGTCCATTTCTGTTCCCTTCTGTTCAAGAAAGCCGTCTGCGTGTGATTGACTTTCAGTCTGCCATGTCTACCAACCGTGGCCCAAATCTGCACGCCCTCAAGATCAAAAACGACAGCAACACAAGCCAGAAAAGGCCTCGTGGCATTCTTGACCTCATGGAAGTAAGAAAGAAAACAGCTGTGTGCAGTGGCGCAGCAGGTGAGTTTCCAGTCCATTCCCCCTACCGTCCTGTGTGTGCTTGGAAGGCCTCCCGGCCCAGGAGCTGGCAGGGCAGGAGCCGGCAGGGCAGGAGCTGGCAGGGCAGGAGCCGGCAGGGCAGGAGCCGGCAGGGCAGGAGCCGGCAGGCGGGCCCTTTGCCCATGCGCCAGAAATGTGTCTCCCTTACCTGGTTTTAAACCCAAAATGCTTTCTAGGAAAAAGTGAATAAATAAATAAATAAATAAAACTCTGGATCTCTGACAAACAAATAAACAAGTACTCAGGGGCCCGGGAGCTGGGTGGCTTCACTGGCTGGTTTTTGTGAGGAGTCTGGTTCTCTCCACTAGACTGGAAACCACCCCACGTACAGACTGCATCAGTCCCTTCCATCCACCTGCTGAAACTTTGCCTGTATCCTCAGAGATGACGTTTCCCAGACTTCTCCGTCGCCCAGGCTGGGAAGTCCTGCCGAGGAGACCTGACAGGGGTCCTGGGTGGGAGTGGCAGCCTGACTGTGCTGCAGTCCCTCGGCTCCGCCCAGCCTCACAGCTGACGTGGTCTTACAGCTCCTCCTTTCTGGCCAGCACTGCCACAGTCCTTGCCACCCTGGGTGCCTGACAGCAGCCTTTTGTTCACTCACAACAAAATTCCACAGCCTCTTCAACTCAGAGCAGCCTCCCACCACCCTCTGGGCACGGAAAGGGAGAGGTGGAGAGGGCTCCAGCCCAGTGTGCCTGGAGCGGGCAGGCAGGTGCACGGAACAGAGTCCAGATGGGAGAGTGGGTGCACCTGCAGGAAGTCTGGCTGGGTGACCTACTGTGTGCCTGGCTAGGTGACCTACTATGTGCCTGGCTGAGTGACCTACTGTGTGCCTGGCTGGGTGGCCTTATTGTGTGCCTGGCTAGGTGACCTACTGTGTGCCTGGCTGGGTGACCTGCTGCATACCTGGCTGAGTGACCTACTGTGTGCCTGGCTGGGTGGCCTTATTGTGTGCCTGGCTAGGTGACCTACTGTGTGCCTGGCCGGGTGACCTGCTGTGTGCCTGACTCCCTGATCTTGGGCCTCCCTGGGCTAATGCCATCACAGCATGAAGGAGCTAGGCTAGTGCAGGACAAGCCCAACCTTAACTACAACTTTGAGCATTTAGCTAATCACAGGCAGGTCTCTGGCTGTGAAATAGGAGGCGATTTGTTCTCTACATTTTGCAAATAGTCTCTGCTAAGATTATAGGATTGGTGCGCTTGTGTTTGCTGTGTGTTCTTAAGCTTAGGAAGTCTGTGATGCTAAAAAGGAAATTTAAATGTTTAGAAGAAAATGAAATAGAGATGGAAAGGCTGGGAGGAGTACCCCGCCCCCCTCCTTGCCCCCAAAGTGCCGGGTTTTCCACACCCGGTTGGAGAAGTCTTTGCTCCTCTGGCGCCCTCTGCTGGCCAGTCAGAAGTGGCCGCTTTTTTGCATTGCTAAGTAGCGCGGTTAAATAAAAATCTGGCAGAGGTCGGTGGGGTTCCAGCCAGGATAAAGATCAAATTGCCTGTATAGACAAATCCTAGCCCAGAGTCAGCTCCGGAAGCCATTTGGCATTTCCCCTTGTAGAAGGGACCCCTACAGGGGCAACTGAGTAAGCGTCTTTTGCACAGGCCAGGTGGTCAGTCAGTGTTGAGCCCAAGAATGTGGGAGTTCTCCCATCTCCCTCCCTGCACATGGGGAAAGATACGAAGGAACCCTGCTGAGCACACCCCCCCCATCTGTCTGTTCTATGGCTCTTTGGCCTTGGGGCTAACTCTGTCCTTCAAAGTCCCACATGGTCCCTCGCAGCCAGGAGAGCTGCAACGTCCTCTCATTTGTCCCACCACCCTAATCCTGCTTTCCCACCTACCCAATTGACACCCACATCTTGTGGGCCCTGGCTGTGGGGGCCCACCTAACAAACAGGTGGCTTCTTTCTGAACTGATCTTCCCTCTCCCCAGAAGATAACTTAAAACGCCCACTTTGCTGAGGGGTGCAGCACGGCAAGCACGTGCCGGTCAGGTGGCGGGGGCCGGCAAGGTGGGTAAGTGGCCTCTGCTTGAGACAGGACTGGGAAGGCATTGTCCGGTTCCAACTCTAAAGGACACGTCTCCAGTCACTAAGCTTTGTCACGTGCTCTTTATCAGCAGAGTGACCAGGAGGAGGTCTTCCTTCCCATGATGAAGGAGGCCCCCGAGCCCCTGATTGGTCCTGCCTGGGGAGAGGAGGACTTCCATATTTGGACAGCAGCTGGGGAGGCCGCCTCCCCCATCAGCTCCCATATAGCTGGGCCAGCGGCTGCTGAGGACCCCTGCAGCTCCCAGTCCCCCAGAGGCAGCTCCCAGCCCAGATCTCCAGGTAGGTGTCGGGGAGGGGGTCTTGGTGAGCAGGCTTGCTGGTTTCTAATCTGATCTGGACCTCAGCCGGTGAACCAGGTGGGGAGCTCCTTACCTCCATTCTCCACATGCTGGGATGGGTCCCTCTAGAGAGGCCTGCGAGAATATCCCTTCATGGTCTCGTTTCAGATCCCATGCTAAAATGCTGCCTCTGGGCTGGCCGCTGGGGACCATGTTTGACAAGGAAGTCTCTCTCTGTTCAGGCTTTCTTTCTTTCTCAAAACCCTGTCCCAGCCTTCCAGTGCCGGCTCCCTTACCATGACCTCTGGAGTTTTTCTTCTTTAACATTTCTCCAACCACTTATGACTGTTTTTGAAGGCCTATTGTATTGTGTTAAAATAGGGGAAATCTGTGTAGGGAGAGGATCTGGGAGTGGAAGGGGAAATCCCAGAGCCTTTGGAACTGTATCGTATGATTGATTGATTCATTCGTTTATTAATTCATTATAAAGTTTTCTCCAACCAAGGGGTTCCACCAACCCATGATGTGTGGCAATGTGGGGCATGTCCCTCTGTTTGAGATAAGTGTGTGTGTGTGTGTGTGTGTGTGTGTGTGTGTGTGTGTGTGTGACATTCTAGGTTGGCTGAGATTGAGGGCAGAAAGGGATGAGGTGCTGGAGGTGGGGTGCTCCAGCGCCCCGCAGACAGGAGGCACTGGCCGCAGTGAAAGCTCTGTGAGGTCTTTGCATTTTAACTGTTTCGCTTTTGGGGACCAAAAAAAAAAAAAGACCTGTAGCAGCTAGTGTTGTCTGGAGTTTGAACATTCTAACAGGTGCACTGGGGAACTCTGCGTCTTGGGGGCTCAGCAAGCCAAGTGCCTGCAGCCTCACAGCAGATCTTTCCCAGGAGGCAGTGAGGGCTCTTGTTGCATCCGTGAGGCATGTGGAGCTGCAGGTGCTGGAATGGCCCGAACGTGAGCCTTGGGCTGTGATTGCCACAGTAGCTGTGGTCACTGCAGGAGCCAGAAGCAGGGAGTTACAGGGTCGGGGTGATGGCAGGGCAAGAAGGCTATTCTACAAGGTCACCGCTAGCTCTTCTGGGGCCCCTTTGCTGTCCCCGGCCCTCCTGTCTGACTGACAGGAATGGAAGTTCACAATCAGAAGCTAGCAGCAGGGCAGGTACGTGGAGCAATGGGAGTCTGCATTTCACATCGCAATGCCTGGCTTAAGGCCCAATACCCCACTTCCAGTCCAGCGCCTTGCTAATACGTGTGCCCTTTGGGAAGCGGCAGGTGAGGGCTTAAGAACTTGGGTCCCTGCCATCCACGTGGGAAACCAGGATTGAGTTCCCGGCTCTTGGCTGTAATCTGGCCAAGTCTGTTGTGGGCATTTGTGTGAGTGAACCAGTGGATGGAAGATGCGTGTGTGTGTGTGTGCGTGTGTGTGTGTGTCTGCCTTTCAAATAAAATGACAACGAACAAGTCTTTAAAGCGGGTGAGCTGAGCAGGGGCACGTGAAGCCCAGGGAAGAGCTGGCTGGACACACCTGGACTCCATGAGAGAGGGGCAGTGAGGATGCTTAAACCACCTGTCTGTCACTCCATACCTCCAGTCTCATAACGTTGAGCCCGTTAGGGTCAGCATCAGGAACTTTCTAAGAAGGATGGCAAGGAACGCACAGGAGACAAAGCCAGCTTAGCGCAGTAGAGAATGAAGAGGGATGATCAAAAATCTTGTCCTCGCCGAGAAGCGCTTGGTTGCAAGTGTTCCGCTGAGTCTTCCTCCAGGCCCCTTCGTATGAACCGACTTGAGAGGACCAGAAAAACCTACACCTGTGGCGTCATCAGTCATTCATTTCCAGCACATCCCCAAAGGCTTGCTGATTGTCTGTTTCAGCCTCTTATCCATGTGGGGGAGGGGAAGGTAAGGACCACAGCTCTGAGCAGATCTAACTCCCTGAAAAGGCCAAGACTGGGGTAAGGATGCCACAAAGCAGGCAGGGCAGCCTAGAGAGCCCAGTGGGAAATTAACCATCCTGGCTGTTTCTCCTGCAGGTTCTGACAATGATGAGGAAGCATCTGGGAGGATGGGGCGTGGCCATTGTTTGCGTCCTGCTCTTCAGCCTCCTGCCCACAGTCAAGGCGAGAGGCATAAAGCACAGGATTAAGTGGAACCGCAAGACACTGCCCAGCACAGCCCAGATCACAGAAGCACGCGTGGCTGAGAACCGTCCCGGAACCTTCATCCGGCAGGGCCAGAAGCTTGACATCGACTTCGGGCCGGAGGGCAACAAGTACTACGAGGCCAACTACTGGCAGTTCCCCGATGGCATCCGCTACGACGGCTGTTCTGAAGGCAACGTGACCAAGGAGGTGTTCGTGGCCAAGTGCATCAACACCACGCAGGCGGCCAACCAGGGCGAGTTTTCCCGGGAGAAGCAGGACAAGCTGCACCAGCGGGTCCTGTGGCGGCTGATCAAGGAGCTGTGCTCCATCAAGCACTGCGACTTCTGGCTGGAAAGGGGGGCTGGATTTCCAGTGGCTGCGGGCCAGCCCGTGGTGATGCTGTGCCTGCTCGTTTTCACCTGGGTCCTGGTGAAATAGATGGCAAGGAGACGGGCGATGATGAGGGGTAGCGTTCCTCCTTCCCCACCCCTCAGCCCATGGCATTCTGAAGGTACCAGGAGCTGAATTCCTCAGTGCTTCAATGATCACACCCAGGTGTTTGCTTGTCCCTGGTAAATGTGTGTGTGTGAGATGTGTGTGCATGTGTGTGTCAGGAGGGTGTCAAGCATCGCACATTTGCTGCTCCGAGCGGAGTGCCTGGCACATGAGGAAGTGTGTGTGTTTGGTAATTCAGTGCAGGAATGCCTCCGCAGCTGAATCAAGCATCTCATGGTGCTTCCCACAACCCTCGGAGCCAGGCATCCTTCCCAATTCACAGATGAGAAAACTAAAGGCCAGAGAAGCGTAGGTGCTTGTCTGGAGGCATCAGCCAGCCATGACTTACAAACACCGAGGTTTCCGCTCTGTCCAATCACAGAGTTGTCACATGACCACTTCAAGGGCCACAGGCAAATGTTGCTCTCCGAACTGTGAAACATCCACTTGCAAAAGTAAATGAAAAGACCTGAGCCCACGGCTGGGTGCCCTGATGCCTGGAAGTTTAGTTTAGTCCCCTGTCAAGCCAACAGATAAATATAGGCTAAAAGGAAAGCTCGAGAAAGACCCAGACAGCACAGAGGGAGAAAATGTTGCCAGGCTGACTCAGCGCAGACCAGGTGTAGAGCTGGGTGCACCTGTACATGAAGCTTCTTGTTTTCACAGCGAGAAGCAGCACTTGCTCCCATTCCTGAGCCGGTCCCAAGGGCGTGGTTTGATGAACACCCATCCGAGCATCTTCACTGGGGACAGTGCACCAGCTCTCTGAGTTCTTCTCGCCAAAAAAGCAAGGTCTTGAAGGAGATCCTATGAGAAAGTCACGCACAATTCATTAAAATCCCAGTGTAACAAAACATGTACAGAGCTTAGATTTCACACACACACAAAGGACAAATCTGATACGCTAAGACATCCCACCAGCCTCTCTGAACCCCAGGAGCTGTGGGACCCTGTTAGCATGGGAGCTTCCTGAGTCTCCTTGTAGAGTCTGGAGCGGTGGCCACGTGCTGGCCCTGGTGCCTTCGGGACTGGGTTCCCACTGCACTCACCTGGGAGGTTTTCAGGCTAACACAGGAGAGGGGCAGGGCAGGGCCTTCTGGGGAGGAGAGCTAATACAGCGCGTTGTTCCAGGGCTGCCCACAGCCCACGAATTCTAGATCAAGACACGCAGCACACGCTGAGGTTATTTCTTTGGGTTCTATTATTTCTGTTTTAATCTTTTTCCCAAAAGAAAACAATAACAAGAAAGCAGAGAGAGAAAAGGAAGAAGCAGGGAGGGATTGGTGCCTCCGAGTCAAGCCCTGGCTCTCAGTTCAGCAACAGGTAATGGTCACAGAGGCGAATGGGCCCCGTCTCCATGCTGCAGGCCTCTGGCTGCCACGTTCTATGAACCATCCCACACACATCAGCTAAGCAGGGCACGGAAGAGAACGCATCCCTCGTGGCTAGACTCTCAGTCTGCTTGGACTCAGTCCTTTGTGGAAGCGACCCGAGTGTGGACTTTAAGGATCTGGATTGTCATCTTAGGGAAGGGTGACCTGGTGTGTGCTCCCGGGGCAAGACCGGGCTGGGGCAAGGCATCTCTGCTCTCCTCAACTTTCCACCCTAGGAGTTGATTGGAAAAGCAATGTTACAATTGGAATAGAACTCTTAAGATCTAATGCTCACCATGTAATTGCAGCATCTGATTGAATCGATGTTTCCTCAGGCTTTCCCAACGCCCAAGCTTGATGATTTGCATATACAAATGTGCAAATTTGTATGACACAGGTGTGCTTTTCCCTTCTTTCTCCTCATTTTCCTAGGATGTTTGCTTCCTTGCCCCTTCCGAGCCATCCTCCCCAGTCGCACTCCCTCGTAGAGGTGGCCTCTACCATTTTACTCCACCCAGAGGTACACGCAAGGGTATTTGCTTCGTTCTGTCTTTCTAAGATGCTATAAGACACTACGTGTTCCCCTGGTATGTTACCTCTGTAACTTCCCGCTGCATTGTTAAGCTCTCAGCATCAGCAGCTTTCCTCGGTTTACCCCTCAGCTAATGCATCCTTCCACACTGCCATGTCACATTCCGGTACGGTCGTACCACGGGGAGGTTAATCATTTCCTTGTTAGTGGGCCTTCAGATTGTTCCCAGGCTTTTTCTTTTCTTTCTTTCTTTCTTTTTTTTTTTCTCTTCTAACCACTGCAAATAAAAGCCCTTATATATACAACCCTGCCGTTGGGTGCTTTGATTTCTGTGAAACCGACTCACGCGTGCGGCATTTTGTGGATTGGAAGCCAGATCGCCACACAGGAGCACATTCCATGGCCTCGTGGTTGTAGCAGCTCCCACACCCACCAGTAACCTGTAGCTGAGCCCAGAGTAGCTGCCCAGGGTGTGCAAGCTGGAGCCTCCCCCATCTTGGCAGGCAGCACACTGGAAGCTTCCCAGGTCATGGGATCCTAAGGCCCATTTTACAGTCCTGAGACACTAAGCAGTCCTGTCTAAAGCTTGTCCTCATCCCTCACACCTGGATGGGAAGCCTGGGCATGGGAAGTGAGGGTGCAGGCAACCTGTGCAGAAGGAGGTGACCAATCGAGCAGACTGTGGACTCCTCGTGTCCTACCTGGCTCAGCACGCAACCGACAACGTTGGGAAACCACACCTTCCCATCACTCCCCAGTAGCGGGCCCTGAGTTTGCCCGTCTTGGGGCAGTGGCCCTAGTCACACTGCAGTGGGGTCCCACACTTCTTCATCATTTCCCTAGATGGGGGACAAGGACACCCAAGATGCCTGTGCAGAGCTGCATGGAACATTCTAGAGCCTACTGGGGTCTACAGGCAACACGATCATGGGCCACACATGCCAGGCAGCCATCAAGAGGCCTCCCTGACATTTTTCTGATGCCATCCCATGTGGCAATCCCAGTCAAGGCCAGCGATGTCGGTCACCAAACCCCAGCCTTTAGTCCACGAGCCAGGGACAAGACAGGAATCTCCCCTCTCTCTTGTCCTCACCGCTGGCAGAAAACCATTTTGCTTTGAAACCCAGTGTCCCCAGTGGTAGGAAAGGCATCGAGCACCAGTGTCACTGGGAATTCAGGGCCCTGTACACTGGGGATAAGGCCAACATTCCCTGAAAGACAGGAGTGAGCCACAGTGTATCCCTGAGTCTCCCATTCATGGATTCAACCATCTGTTGGTCAGACTCATTAGAGTAAGTGCTGGCTGTGGGTTGACCATGTGCTTGCCATCACCCCCTAAGCACAGCAGTCTAACAACTTCCGGAGTTTGCACGGCCTTGGGTCTTACAGGGGACCTGGATATGATGGAGTGAGGATGACAGGAGGTGCTAGGGACCTGTGAGGCACTGAGTGTCCTTGCAGCTTGGAGGTTCTGGTGCTGAGCCCCTGAGAATCCTGAAGGCCGGCTCTGCTGTTTTTGACACATCTCTAAGCCGGTTCCCAACCATCCAAAGCCTGTCCCAGGGAGATGCACTCAGCTGCTGCTGCCCATGGCTACCCTGGGCCTTGGGCTCTATAGCGTCTCACCCATGAGCAGCAGAAAGCCCACAGGGGCTGAGTCCTCCCTCTCACGCTGAGCCCAGAAGCCGGACAAGTCCATCTCTCAGGCCTGGTATGCTGACCAGCCCTTGATCAGCATGAGGCTGACCTCTGAATCACCATCCTCTGGGGCACCAGGACCACCATCTCCCCGCCTCCCTCCCCAGTGGGCCCCCCAACTCTGGGCTGAGTTTCAGAGCCTCCATTCACCAGCACCCCACCCCACCAGCCAGGGGATTTCCAAATCTTATTCTAGGGCAGAGACTGATATGGGAAATTATGGCCTTCCTGAACAATGTGGATTGTTTTAACTCCAAGAGGCTGTACATTGTGGAAGGAAATTGGCAGGAGGCCAGAGAGGAGCCAGAGGAAGCTGCAGACCAGCAGGTGAGGGCTGGCCTGGATGGGGGAAATGGGGGAGAGAGCCCCCTGGGTGGCGAGGACCTGGGGAGAAGCAGCCAGCCAGGACTCTTCAGAAGTCAAAGCAGTGTCCAGAAGGGCAATGGGAATAGGGTACTGTTGGGCTCCCAAGCAATCCAGGCACACACACACACACACACACACACACACTATTGGAAAGGCAGAGTTCTTCCATCACTTCCCAAACGGCCGCAACAGCTGGAGCTAAGCCAATCTGAAGCCAAGAGCCAGGAGCTTCTTCCAGGTCTCCCACACAGCTGAGGGACCTAGGGACTTGAATCATTCTTTACTGCTTTCCCAGGCGCATTTACAGAGAGCTGGGTCAGAGGCAGCGCACCTAGAACCCCGATGTAAGATGCTGGTACTGCAAGAGACGTCTGCCCCTAATTAAGATCTCTAATTGGTTTTCAATTGGCTATTAGATTCAATTCTACTTAGCAATCAAGAACAAAGTGGAGGGGCTAGTGTTGTGGCGTGATACGTTAAGCTGTCACCTGCAGCGCCAGCATCCTATACAGACACCAGGTTGAGCCCCAGCTGTTCCACTCCTGACTTTGGCCTGGCCCAGCACCAGTCACCGCGATCATTCGGTGAGCAAACCAGCACATATAAGGTCTCTCTCTTTTCCCCATCCCTGTATGAGTCTGTCTTTCAAATGAATACAATTTTTTTAAAGTCTTTTTTAAAATGCTAAAGAATAAAATGAAGGTGCTGACAGCCTCTCTTAGACTTCATTCGTCCCTCCTGATTCTAAACCAAACTGCATCGTTACCTCTGCTTTCCAGGATGAAAAATGGAGAGGCACAGAGGGCAAAGAGCTGGTGGGTTTTTTTCCAGCTTGTGGTCCCGTTGGAGCAGCCGAAGGGTGATCTCCATCTACCACCAGTTTGGAGTCAACAGACCTTCCTGGGCGCATTAGCACAAGAGCAGACTCAAAGCTAATCCTCCCTGGTACCCATCAGCTCCCACCCTCTCAGCTG